GTGAGAGTTGCTGAATTAGCAGTATGAGTTGAGAGTCCGTGAGTTGATTGATGAACCTCCCTTAGTTAATGAATTAGTTAAGGAAACAATTATATATTTTCTGGATTGTGTGGGCTCGGATTAACTGGGGGGGTTTCTGATGCCCAACTAGGAAATTAGGGGGGAAATAGGCACGAATAGTATTTTCATTTTGGGCAATTTCTGGTGGGTTTGTGTCTTCGGACTAACTAGGGGAGGTTTATTAATCGTAACTTTGCATTACGCCTTCCGCGCAGACTGGACGCAGGGGTCAGAGGAACAATGGGACGTAGATCTAACGGCAAAAGGAGTGGCCAAAGTGAAAGCAGCTTGGTCAGATGATGCAGCAGTACAGCTGCTGCCAGGTGTGGATTTCCACAAACGAAAGCAGGAGGAAACGGCAGATATAGAGCCTTTTTCCCGGCCAGCGCAGGCAACGCTTTGCGGCACATGTGGCGCTTGCAGCGGAAGCTGCGCCCGCAGTGCCCGCGCATGGGACACTCGCCGGTGCCAAACAGAGCGGGAGAGGACACGGAAAGCAACGCAAAGCTGACGTACTTTCGTCCGTGGACTTTGGACAAGCGACGTGGCAGCGCGGAGGTGCCGTACATCAAGCAGCTGCGTGAGCTGGACGAGACGTGGGACAAGAGCTTTCGCCAGTGGCTGTTGCGGTTTCCGTGCGAAGAGACGAAGCGTTATGTCGGCAATTTTGTGGCCGTCTATACCGTGTCCGGCCGGAGAACGACATGGACAACAGCGATAACGAGGACGACGCAGAGGAATTGATCGTAGCCGAAGAGCTTTTAGCGGCGGCCTGCCAAACACATGTGCCAGTGGATGAGGCTACGCAGAAGGCAAGCAAGTGGTCCAAACACCGGACGTTGCTGACGGAAAGCGATGCAACGGGCGGAAGAGCAGTGGGGGCGCGCGAGGCCGCAACAGAGGGCATACGGACGGAAAGAACTTATATGCGCAGACCGACGTCAAGGAAACGCTTAAAGTTTAAAGGTCTGCGTCGGCAAACAGACACACCCGCGCGCTACGTGCAGCGCAATAGCGTGGAACCGTCTGTGACCAAGCAAGCGGCCACTCTACGGGCAACTTTGGCAGCGATGGATGAGTGGAGCAATGGTCTCAACAACAATGGCAAATGCAACAGCAAACAAACCGAATTCTGCCAACGAGTAAGTAAGTAGTCCAGCAGCTCCGAGCAGAATTGCTGGCCGAAGAAGAGGCGCCACCAGAGTCGCTACGGTGGGCACTCCATGGCGGGCCAGGCACAGAGAAATCGTACACTCTGAAAATGATTCGCGAAGAGCTATTCGAGCTCGCATGTTGGACACGTGGGTCGCAATACCACATTGTGACACTGCAAGCAGTCATGGCCAATGATCTAGATGGAGACACCATTCACCACGCGCTCGGACTAAATTGGCAGCGGCGCGAAATTCTTAGACTTAAGTGCCCAAGCTGTGCAAAGGCGTTGGCTCATATTGGACGAAATCAGCATGGTCAGTGCTGAGCTCTTAGCCAGAGTGGATTTATGTGAGCTTGTGCGGGGCCCCTCACAGAGCAAGTACGCCAAGGGAAGGGCCCTCGCACGGCTGTTCGGAGGGTTGAATGTCATTTTGGCGGGAGATTTGTGGCAGTTGCCACCCCCGCGAGGGACCTTCTTGGGAGAGGTTCCCTGCGAAATGCTCACGAGCGAGAAGAATAAAGGAGTCGCCCACACTGTCCATGGGCAAGAGCTCCTGTGGGGGTCGCAGAAAGAAACGACCGTTGTCCAAGGCGTCGCAGAACTCGTCCAATGCGAGCGGACGCAGGACGCTTGGTTGCAAAATGTGCAACAACAGCTTCGAGATGGCGTTCTTGCACGGCCACGACACGTCGTGCCGAGGGAGTTGGTTGGGCGAACAACTGGAGTGTCAACAGGCAGCATGCAAAGCATGGATGCAGGCGAAACTTCCTGCGGCCCGAATCCGAGCGCAGGAGTGCCCAGTGTGCAAGCAAGAGCGAGCGTCGAAAAAACGCATGCCAGACGGAACGCCAAACAACTTCAGCAAAACGCAAATAGACGGCGCAAAAGCGGTGTTCGCAACCAACGCAGTCAAATACCACGCCAACAAATTGCGAGCGCAAGAGTGGGCGCGAAGACATGGACAGACTGTGCAATATGCCATTGCAAGAGACATCATTTCCAGTCATGCCTTGCAGTGCAGGAAAAACCCGATCTGGGAAAAGACAAGTTGACGTGGCTGCAGCGTCACGACCGAGAGTGCGGCGGGCTATACGGAGTGCTGCCCTTGTGCATCGGCATGCCTGTGACAGCAACAGACCACCTCGACCGCCGTAGGGGCATACTGAAGGGATGTCCGGGCGAGGTAATCGGGTGGAGCTGGCAAAGCGACCAGGCGACATCGGAAGGCCACACATCACATATTTGGAACCAACCCCCAGCCTGTGTCTTTGTGCAGTTCCAAACCAAGACAAAATGGCGAGCCCAAGGACTGGATAAGGAAAATGTCTTTCCGGTGACGCTCCAGCGGCAAGTCTGGCACTTGGACAAAGGCAGACGGCGGCCAATGCTACGTGTCGTGCGGCGACAATTTCCTCTGGCCACACATTTTGCAACGACAGCGCACGCAGCGCAAGGACAGACGTACGCAGAGGGCGCAATGACTGACATGCAGACGGCGAGGGTGGCGACCCCATGACCGCATATATCGCGGTGACTCGGGTGAACGACAGACAAGGTTTTTAGGTTTATAGACCCTTCGAGGCTAACTTGCGTGCAGCGAGTGCCGCGAGCAGAAACCCAAAAGCGCGTACACTGCGGGGCAGTGGAAGCGAGGCGAAAACGCACGGGTGTGCAGAGAACGCGTGCGAAACCATGCAGCAAACAATACGCCGTGGCAATGCAGTGTCTGCAAAGCATGGAAGCAAGGACGCCTTTGCGCAGATGTACGCACGCCCGTTCTACCGCGTGTGCCGGACGTGCGAAGCACAGAAGCGGTGCGTCAAGTGTAGTGTAGCAAAGCCGGAGAGTGCGTTTGGGGTTGCCGCGTGGAAGGCGTGAAATGCGGACCGACGTGTTTGCGCGGACTGTGCTAGCAGTGTGACAGGTGAGAGGGCCACGCAGAAGCCGTGTTTCAGGCGCGGCGTGGCAAAGGCGGAGAATGCCTTTGAGGTGGCCGCGTGGAAGGCACGACGTGCAGACTGACGTGTCTGCAAGGCACGCGCCGTAAAAGGAAAGGGTACCTGGCGCTGCGCCGTGTGCGCGGGGCGGAAGGCGTGCGTGGACTTCAGCGCGTGGTCAAAGCGGCGCGCCGCACGCCAGGATGGGACGCAGCATTGCAACGCGTGTGTCCTGCGCGCGGCCGCGTGCACCGGAGACTGGCCCAGCGCAGACGGCGGCTTGCCCGGGCGCGGCAGACAGCCCTGGTGGCGGACGTCCGGCAAGGAAGTCAGTGATTCGCGTGCAGAGGGAAAGTGGAAAGGCAGTGTTGCGGCCACCTTCGTAGCACGGCTCCGGAACACGCGTAAACGAGTCGAGCGCGAGCCTCGGCGGAGGCTGGTGGCGGAGACATGCATGGGCAGAGATTGCGGCGAGATACGGACAAGCAACGAAGGGGACACAAAAGAAGCGCAAGACGGAGATGCTCAAGACAAACGCAAAAGAAGACGAGACAGAAACGACCACAGAAGAGACCACCGCCGCGCCAGAGAGGCCGACACAGCAGGCGCACATGCCCAGCGGCGTCGGAAGACGCCAGGCCGCAGTGGAGACAAGAAGCGGCGTAAGAGACGCAGACCCGAGAAAGTCGCGGAAACGAAAAAGGGAAGACAGTGGACCGGACACGCAAGAAGCAGGTGCGCAAACGATGGACGCAACACGAAGATCCGAAGCACAGCGCCCCGCGCAGAAAGAACAGCGCGCAACACAGACGACAAAGCCATACCAATACGTGTGTCCCTTCTGCAATGCAAATGTCAGCAGCACCGTTCGCACAGGCAAGGTTAATCACCGGCGAGCATGCGGGAACCGTTTCGCTGTGAGGGAAGGAAAGGTGGCAGTGAAAGGTTATGCTTATTGTTGCCCATGGTGCAAAGCTACTGTGTCAAGTAACGTCAAAACTGGACGCGTGGACCATCGAACGGTGTGTGGCAATCAGTTTCGCGTCAAAGATGGGGTGGTCAACAGCGGCTAGGCCCGGGTACAGGCGTGCAGCAGCCCAGGTGATGGCCGCCAAGCGCCCTGCTGCCCTGTAGAGTGCCCAAGTCGGGCTGGTGGCTGGCGTGCCCACTGCCTAACGTCGCTTGCGGAGCCCTAAAGAAAAGAGGCTAGGCCAGCACCACGCTCGGACTGAGGCGGGATGTCCACGCAGAGCTCCAGTCTAGGGAAAGGCCTGCGGGCTTGGGACCCGGCAAACGACACCATCTGTTTCCAAAAAGGGGCACGCCGCAGCCAGCCAAAATGCCTAACGTTGCCTGTGCACTCCCAAGGCTCCCGGCAATCTGCTCCGCCACGCTTTTCCACGGCCACCAGACGGCAGCATGGCCGCTCCCAGACAAGGCAGCATGGCCACTCCCAGACACAGAAGGAGCTAGTAGCAGCCCGTAGCAGCAGCCCACGTGATGGCCACAGCCACAGAGCGGCCTGCTGCCGCAGCGGGGGGGGTTTCCGGGGTGGCAAGCGACACCATCTACAAAAAGCTGACAAAAAGGGCTGGAGGTGCTAGACCGCATAGTAGCACAGGTCATTTGCCAGTGCAAGTCCGCATAGTAGCACAGGTCCTTGGCCATGGCTTCTCGCGGCGCTGTCCTGGGCGCCGCCCCGCCTAGGCATCGGCTAGGCCAGGGTCGGCGGATTCTACTTACACATTGATTAAGTCCCATGGGACCCAGCAGAAGAACCAACCAGGCATGCAAGAAAGGATGTGCTTCACGCACTCCTTCTGTTCAGCAGACTGGCTTGCCCTGAGGTTGAGCATGAGCTGGAATCATTGCCTTCGCAGCAGGAAGACCAAAATCTCGAAGTGGATGGATGTAGGACCTGGTTCCAATGGTTTTACTCCTCCCCTGTGACTGTGACAGATGACGCTCGCCTGGACGCAGATCAATTATTTTGGAGGCCAAAGTGCTTGTAGGATATGGGGGATTGGGTTCTTGTATCCATGAGGGAGAAGACGGAGTCAGGAAACCGACACCAGAGTCAGGAAACCCCAGCGTCCGAGTCAGGAAACCTCTTTGTCAGAGTCAGGAAACGTGCAAACCAGTTCACAAGAAACAACAGTAAGAACAAGATGTAAATGTGAGGAAGTAAAGACGAGGAGGAGGAGGAGGAAGAGGAGCAGTTCGGGTTTTTCAGACACAATTCTATGTGAGAGACTGTCCAAAGATCATTTGATTGATGTGAGTTGAGGTCTTCGGTGACCAACTTGTCCTTTACGATGATGGACGAAAAGCCGAAGGTGCCTGTCCGGAGAAGGAGAAGCCTCGGAAGTGTGGAGCTCAGGTCTGCTAGTTGATTCAGTTCTTTCTCGGTGCTTGAAGAACCATGCTTGTGGGAAGAACGTCTGCCTGGTAGTCTGATAGACCCCGGAGTGATTCAATTCTCCCCGCTCGCAGCTAGCAGGTGATTTCGAGACGCCGAAGGCGCATTAACTGAGGGGAAGATGCACTGCTGCAGTAAAGTGTGGAGGGCGAAATGTCTGGCAAAATGTTGTAAGAGTAGTAAAGGCTTTCCAGAAAGCTGGAAGCAAACTAGAGAGCTGTCATATTTCAATGCTGCAGATGCTCCACATGATCCATACTTAAGTGACAGTTGAATATGTCCGGAACCCAAATGACATCCCTCAGAGACTTCCAGTCCATTCGATCACATCCTGTAACTCCGGCCCAAGGGGCAGATGCAGATCCCCAGCTCCTTGGAGGAGCTACGAGAGCTATTTCAAGGCGTGTGGGATGCATTGTGGTCGTTTCAACTCGAAAGGCTTGAGGTTTTGAGTGGCAGTAAGGTGCTGAAACCACGTACCTGCAGGTGCTGGCCTTTTGATGATCCCCTTGAAGACATCTGAGCAAGCGTTGCAACTTGGACCAAAATTGTATGTATATATTATTATATGTATGTATAACATATCGGTGCGGGCAACGGAGCAAAATCTGACCCGGCGAAATGGTATGCCTCGCTGTGCGTTTCTTTTGTCCTTGTCGCTTGCTCCAGAAACAGAGTTTCACACATTATTTTTTCGGGAGGCCAATGGCCAATCTCATCAAACTCCGAAGTGTAAAGCATGATGTAACATCATCATCCCCTGGTCCACAACTCCACGATAGTGTGGTTACCATTTGGGCCAGGCATTTCCCAGTCAGAAGAGCTTCCTGACCAAACGAATTTTTGTGATCGTACTCTACTGACAGACCTGACTTGCATCATTGGCCATATTTTTCAATGTTCCCGAATTTTCTTTCGCACCCTTTGACAAAGAAATAGGAGATGAATCATGTGTGAGGCCTTTAAACAACGTATTGACGTATTGTCTCATCCCAAACATGTACCAACAGTGTTGTTGTTGTTGTTGCTGCTGCTGCGGTGGTGGTCGTTGTAGTGGTGGCGGCCGTCGTAGGCGTTATTTCCGTTGTCCGCCCAGGCCAACAGATGAAGAGGAACTTCTCGTCGGCACGGAGCATTCCTCAAAAGAGGCGACGGGGGGATCAAGGATTGATGTGCGACTGGCACCCTTTTCTTGGGATTTACCAAAGTTCCGGAAGTGTTGGGGTTGGCTCACTGCACAGTCCGGAAATTCTCTCACGACTCCTGGGGGAGAGCAACGAGTGAAAATTCTTGCAATTCCTTGATCCGGGCGACTGTCACAAGCATCATCCAACCTGTAAATCTCTGAACGAGAGGGATGAGTAGCTGTGGGTGAGCCAAAGATTGGCTGACTTTCTTGATTCCTGTTCAACAGGTCATTCACAGTCTGAAAGCCTGCCTCAGCTTCTTGATTTCGATTTAGAATTGTGGACTCTCTAATTCATTTGCATTTACAGCCCTCCCTACAACAGTCAGCATGAGAAAACACACACTGGTACTAAAGTGGCCAATGGATCCCTTTCTGACGCACGGGTGTTCTCCTGTATTGGCTGCATTGCAGCATCGTTGAAGTGCGCCTGCCTTGCTCATTTGTCTATGAGTCCATTATTCGCCCCTCCAGGAGCTGCAGAGAGCAGTAAAACGACTCAACACCTACCGCTGGCGTGGGTCACAGAGAGAGAAGCAGAAATTTGTTGAACTTGAATTGCAAAGTTCCTCCACCAAGATTAAAACTAGGGCTGAACTTTGACTTTGGAAACAGGCTGGAATTAATCTTTCAAAATCCATCTGGCATCGGTGTGAATTAAATTTAGGGACGGCCGGAAAAACAACTGAGGTCAACCACTGAGTTCAATGCGTCCTTTTTACAAGTGACATTCGGTGGTCTTTTTTGGCGCTGATTCGCTGAACCATGGATTCCATTTAAATGGGGAACTGAGAACTCGCACCGAAACTCCTGTGTTCGGCTGGTCATCCGCAAAAGGAGCATAGATCCGCGAGTTTGGTGTTGGTGGTGTTGAGATAATTTTGGCACCCCAAAATCCAATAATTACTTAGCGATTTAGGTGGTCAGGCCGTCACAATCCTTTTTCCACATCCATTGAACCAGTGAGTGACATCACTGGTCGGTGCGTTCCCAAGGTTTTGCCGTGTGCCGCCAGTGGACATCGAGGAGGACAGCGGTGAGAGCTTCATTTGGATCATTAAGCAGAGGGAGTCACAACTCTACTGAAGAGACAGAACAAGAGAACCTTTGGAATTCTAGGACTCTATGGAATCAAACCTGAAATTCGGTGGCCATGCAGAACAGATCACCGCAAGAACCACCAGCGCTTCAGGGCGGTTCTGCGCAATGGGATTTGTCCGAATCCAGAGGTTCACGGTGGCTCCTTGGCTTGTACCACATGGGGATGGTTGGGGACCAATGACCACTCAGGCGCACCGGTTTCCTTTTAAATTTGAAGGATACAAGGCCGTGAGGCCTGAACTTTGGAGAATCTCGACTAGGCTTTTCTGGGTTGATTCAAGGTTTGCCCAGAAGCTTGTGGGGACCTTCAAGGAACCCGAAAGCTGGCTAGTAAAAGAAGCCCCACAAATTGGTCCCTGCAAAATCGGACTCAGTGCTGTTATTTGAATGGTTTAGAGTTTAGACAAGTCAAGTAAGAGCTCAGATACTGATCCGCACAACCTCGAAAGGGCATGGCTTTGTTCCAGGACGAGGTTGAGCTATGTGAGTGCTTGAGCGAGGCCTTGTTGCTGCGGCAGCCGGTGGGGGACCCCACAGAACTTTGCCTTGCACAGAACTTCTCAGACGCCTTTTGCAAATCTGTTTGTTTTGGCCAGATGTCAGAAGCTACTAGAAACAAAGGGCATAGCTACTAGGAGCAAGGACGCTACTCGTAGCTTCTGGCCTTACTACTAGTAACAAGAAGCTACTAGTAACTGGAAGGACTTGGGGCCAAGGGTCATTGTGCCTGGTTTGAGGGGATTCCCAACTCTTGCCCCTAGCTACATGTGTTGTAAAGGAACACTTGTGGAGAATGAATATTGCAGGTGGCCAAGGGATGATTGTAGGTAATTGTGGAGACAACCGGAGTGTCCGAAGAACATGTGCAAAGTGAAACATCCGCAAGCTCCGCTTTCTGTTACTGCTCAAACTCACCGACAGAACAGTTTTCATTTTTTACTTTGTGAACTTCGCATGGGTTGGCAAAACACTATTGCAGGTTTTGTGATTCCTGTACCCTTCACTTGTGCTCCTTGGCAGATGAAGGTTTTATCCGGGTCCTGCGGTTTTGAAAGCCCTTCCAAAACCCTGCGATGCGGAACTTGGTCGTTGAGGTCTTCCTGAACGAGTCCCACCTCACAGCACGCCGGATCTCTGACCTGGGCGAACAGCTGGGAGGCGGTGCAGGGCGGTGGCCACACACGACCGAACAGACCGAGCGCCTTGGTGGCGGGCCCCAAAAACGTACATCAAAAGCACTGCTTCGTTTCGGGGAGTTTATGGAGAACCAGGTCCGTTGATGGCCCAGTCAGGTGACCTTTCTGGACCTGAATGGGGTTTGTTTTGACCACAAACCCTATCAGTACGGTTCAAGGTTTTGCAGAGGTCGGGACACTATACTCACTATATACTGAATCCGAGGAGTGTACAACCACTCCAGCTACCCTCCAAGCTTCAAAGATCAGGCTTTGGGGTTCTCCACAACTTCAGTCCGAACGCTTTTGCACCCTCTGGGAGGCTTCATGGCTAAGGGGGACTGCACCATGATGCTGCACAAGGACTGGATCAGCAGGGGAGACTGGGCAGAAGAGAAGTGGAATTTGAGAGCTAAGACATGCTGGCTTTTGGGTAGAACCAACATGCAGCGCATGCTTTGACTCTCTGAGAACCACCCAAGCTGCAGGACACCAGTCTTGAGGCGCAAGGCCTTTTCTTCCCGACTTAATACCAGTATTGAACACTCAAGTCATGAGATACGCTCCGCTATCCGAACTGTGGACCTATTCTCCTGGATGTTGAAGCTATACACATCTATCAAGGGTGCTATAGTGACGGACACCCACTTAGAACATATGTATTTTTCCAAATTTCAATCCTACACCTAGACTAAAACAGGAACACTACACTTAGAACATTGAGACTTAGAACAAACATGCTCACTTAGAACATTGGTTAGACTATTTCATAATTATTCATAAAGTGGGAGTCCGCTACTTTGTATGTTTGCATAGATTTCTGGTTAGGGGTGGGCATACAAAAGTCTGCAGCCGGTGGCAACCTTCATAAAGCATGCTTTTAGTTCTAAGCCAGCATTTAGGCCAATGTTCTTACCATTGTTCTTAGCCTGGACTTTTCTCCAGACATATGTTCTAAGCGCACACTTAGAACATCGGCATATCTGTGACTCATCTTGTGTATTTTTCCAAAATATGTTCTAAGTGGGTGTCCGTCACTATAGTCTTGAACCCTGCCGCGAGCTGGAACTGTGACAAACTCTTTGAGTCGGAATCTAGGCACTTTGGAAATTATGGCAGCACAGCCAAGACAGCGAGGCACTGATGATGCTTACTTGGCAGTTGACTGGAGCCAATCCTCTGCAAATAGACTCCAGGTAGACAGACCTCTGAACAAGTTGGCTGCTTCTTTGCTATGGTCGTAGATGGATCTCTACCACTCGCTACAACTCTGGTTGCAGAATCCCTCTCTACAAGAACGGACCGTCCGTGCTAATACGAACCGATGTTTTTCCAACACTCAAAGGGTTGATGTCGACTCATCGCCACCGGGATGGAGAACTCCGCGACCCGGGTCAACGAACTGGGGTCAGCACACGAACTCACGAACTTCTGCCAATCTCTGGCAGGGAAGACACCCACCGTATATATATATATAATATATATTTGTATATAAGTGCACGAAGCCCTGAGGTAGTCAGGTTGTTAGCAAACTGAGTTTATCAGGGGAAGCCCCCTTCGGATCGCCTGTGGCCTATTGCTGAAGGAGAGCTCTTTGATCTCGGCAGTGGATGTTGGCGCGGAGCCTGGATTTGGCACTCTCATCCAGCAATCAGGAAAAGACAATATTTTTATTGCACCGTATTTAATTTCAGCACCGTATTTAATTTATGGTGTGGTGATTGGATTCAATGTGATTGGAAGAGAAGGAAGAACAACACGGTGTTTCGGAGAAGTCCACGGAATCGACTGACTTGCAGAAATCGCTGAAGCAAAGCACAAAATGCCCTGAACCTGCGACATGATGGCAAACACTTTGTTTGTGTGGACTTGAGTTGGCGCTACACAAAGAACGATAATAGCATAGCAGAGCAAGAAGCAACACAGACCCCCACCTGGGCTCGAAGCAACCATAGACTTGTGTTACCCATTTGCGGGTTGCTTCAGAAAAAGTCATTTTGAGACAAGGGCAAAAAAACAAGAGGAAGACATGGAAAAGGACGATGCAATGAGGATAAAGTCAAACAACATACAAAAGCAGCGGCAAATCCATGTTGCAATAGTAGATACACCACCATGGCTTGCAGCACTTGCCGACAAATGACCAGGTGCCAAAGCAGCCCAAACCCAAAGAACTACAGGTATTTCTTCTCAAACTGCTCTTGGAAAGTTCCTAGCCTGCAAAGCATGCCCAAACGGTTCAAGATATGACCTACATAGTAGAAAACCATTTGCAGGAGGAGGGGTATTTATTTTTTGGATTTTTTTTGTTTCTTTTTTGGATATTTTTTGTTTTTCGTGGCTTCTGGCTTCTGGCTTCTGTGGCTTCTGGCTTTTGTGGCTTTTGGCTTCTGTGGCTTCTGGCTTTTGTGGCTTTTGGCTTTCGTGGCTTTCGTGGCTTCTGTGGCTTTTGGCTTTTGTGGCTTTTGGCTTTTTGGCCTATCCATCTATCTGTCTATACCTATCTATTTATCTATCTATCTATCTTTCTTTCTTTTGGCAGCTGTTCTCCTTTCTCTTTTTTGTATTTGCTTTTCCTGTTGTTTTCGTTGCAGAGACGAAACCAAACAAGGAAGCAAGGAAGCAAGCAAGCAAGCAAGCAAGCAAGCAAGCAAGCAAGCACGAGCTGCTCACCTTTGGATCTGGTGTGCTGCTAGGGGGGGCGCTGCGCCCCCCCCCAACCCCCCCGCGCCACGAAATCTGCACTTCATCCCCGACACCCGCGCCTGCCACGAAATCAATATTTTAAGGTGAACTCCCCGGTGCAAAACTTTCTAACCAAGCAAATATGCCTCCTCTATCTATCTATCTATCTTATCTTATCTTATCTTATCTAATCGAATCGAATCGAATCGAATCGAATCGAATCTAATCTAATCTATCTATCTATCCATTTATCTTTCTATCTTTCTATCTTTCTGCAGTTCAACATCCACAAAGTACTGCACCTGCCACGAAATCTGCACTTCAAGGTCCACAAAGTCTTGCGCCTGCCACGAAATCTGCACTCCAAGGCCCACAAAGTCCTGCACCTGCCACCAACTCTACACTTCCACACCCACAAAGTCCTGCATCTGCCACGAAATCTGCACTTCAAGGTCCACAAAGTCCTGCGCCTGCCACAAAATCTGCACTCCAAGGGCCACAAAGTACTACACCTGCCACGAAATCTGCACTTCAAGGCCCACAAAAAGTCCTGCGCCTGCCACAAACTCTGCACTCCAAGGCCCACAAAGTCCTGCACCTGCCACGAAATGTGCTTTGCAAGGTCCACAAAGTACTGCACCTGCCACGAAACACGAAAAACAAAAAAATCAAAAAACAACGAAAAAATCAAGAAATATATTCGCAACCTTTGCAGGACAAAGAGCACAGAGCCAGGCCCAGAGTCTACAGCTTGCAGAAATCTTCAATCCTTTTTGCAATTGCTTCACTTAATTCTAATAGCTTCTTTGTTACTACTAGTAAGGCACCTGTTACTACTAGCGTGGCACTTGTTACTAGCTTCACCAAGTGTTCCGGGATTCTGGGAGGTGCATTTCAGACGTTTGTCCGCATTCGTCAAAGCACATGGGTGAACACGTGATGCCAATGCCGAAAAAATGAACGCAACCTGCAAAGCAATGCAAAGAACATGCGACAAAAAAATGCAATCCCAGTAGGCCTTGTAAGCTTTTTGGTTGCTGCAGGCAAGACTTATTAGTGGCGTCCTTGCTTGTAGTAGCGATGCCCTTTGTTACCACTAGCCTCCTTATTCCTAGCAGTAAGGCCAGGAGCTACTAGTAGCGTCCTTGTTCCTAATTACATGGTGTTTTTGCCTTTCAACATATTCTACATACTTTTGGGAGGTGGTCGCTCCATCGAGAACCACTTTAGTTGGGTCATTGGGCCTCATTTTCGATTGAACGGCTGTCCGGATCTAGCACAAGAAATCGTCCGTTTGCTCAACCATCCGGTCAGAGCGGCACAGCCAAAGCATAATGGCTCTTCAACGGCCTCGGCGGGTTGCTTAATAGAGGGGATACCCCCAAATGTACAACCAATTGGTACATGGTACCAAACTGACCCGTCTGTTATTCCTCAAAGGACATCATTGAAACAAAAAAACTGCTGGACTGCTCAAGACATTTCAGGCATCCTCTGCAGCCACACAGTCTTTGCCCTCAGTGGGCCCTTGTGGTGCGCGGTTGTTTTTTTTCTACGCGCAGAAGTTCAGAAACAAACTGACAAACTGTATTTGTATGGAAGAATTTAAGCGATCCCAGACTTTTGCCCGAAATTATGGCTGGACCAACCTATCAATTTGTTTTGGTCACTGCCAAGTGAATTAGCAGTCGCTTGTTTTGGATGCATTGATTGTAGCCATAGATCTTCCAGAGCTTTGACCTTGAGACATAAATGGAAAGGTGGGTCTTGGAGTGTGCCAGACAAGGCTAGAAAAGCTTCCCGATCCGAATCGTTTCCTTTTTTGAGAAGGACCAAGGTGACCCACTGAACACACAGGTTGATCCAGTTGACTTCGAACCCAGGCAGGATGGAGCTATGCCAGTTCCCAGCTCAAAGTTTACTGCGGTGGGAAGGACCCTTCTCAGGGAGACATCTATAACAACGCACCCTGGCCTTTTGACCTCGGGGGAAGGACATATGAGTTCCTGGACTTGTCTTGGATTTGTAGTAAATTAGATGCCGAGCCACAATATGCAGGAAAGGTGCATTCATTGTTGCTTCATGTTCCCTCCAATACACCATGTCACCATGTCACCATGTCAGTTTGAACTCCGTGAAAGTGTGCGTTTGATGGATGTGATAGAGATTTCTGCTCGGATATTAGCAGTCCAAACACTTTCAAGGAATCTTGCCAATACAAGCATGTTTTTGAGATTGCTGGCTGATGCAACGGATTTGATCATCTTGAAATAGGTTTAGCTTTGCCACCAATACAACAGGCTTGATAAGAACCTTTTGGGCCGTCACCTAAAGCCTTTCTTTGTCGGTCCCCCTGTTTGGAAAATGCCGCAGCCACACATGTGTATCTCAACTTTCCAGGACTCCATTGGTGTTAAAGCCCGATACAAGATGGTTGATCATGGAAGTACTTTCCCTGCATGGTGTAGATCGTAGATCAACCACTATTAGCACTTTGTTGGCCTGTTGCTTTCTTTTGGAGGCCCATATCATTTGTTCCAAGTTCTTGACCTGGATGGACTTACCTCTCGGAAAGCGACAATGGCGGGCCGAGACCCTTGCATGCTTGCTCGCATTGGCAGCTACATGGAATGAACCGACAGGCTTTCGTTTTGCCCTGCCATGACGAGGGAAAGCAAAAGCTTAACACCTGAGCGACGAGCGAAGATCGCTTGTGGCCGTTCCCCATATCAGCCCGTGGGGTTGTATGGCAATTCCCGCACTGGTTTGGCCACAGCTCCCAGGCTCACCTCCTCCAGGGGTGGACGAGAGTTCAGCGGCCCCAGGCAAAGTCCGGATCAACAAGGGGAACACCTGTGAGTTTATTGAACGCTCACATGGAGATGAGATGAGTGTTTGGTTCGTTTCCAAATCTAGGGTTACATAGACACTGACACTTTTGAGCGCTTCCAAATGTGTCCTGATTACGACTATTAAGGTAGCTAGGGTTTGATTCTTCAGTAGTCTTCGTCACATCGCACTCCCATCAGCTCGCTCTCTGAGAGGTTTACAGGATGAGATGCTCCGAAGAGCTGGGCGCCACCGAAGTGGGGGTCCTGAAAAACAACAACAAACGGCGTATGACCTTCCAAAAAAGGTTCTTCACAGAGGATATCAGAGGTTGAAACAAACAAACACAAATGGTGATGGAGTATGGCATATCTGAAGGGCTGTCTTTTAACTCTTCTCCCGCTGTTTCGGGCTTGCAGGCGACTGGCATGCAGAGCACCCAGAAGAACGTGACTTGGAGAAGAATAGATTTTGATGGGCTTCTCCAGTGCCTTCGTTTCTCCTTCTCCCAAACCTAGGGACTCCTTCACCAAAAATATGCGTATTTGATTGCTTGGAAAGGAGAAGGAGAGTGTCTGTCGGTCCGGCCGATCAGGTGGGAAGGGCTTTGCCACGTGTGGCTTCTCAGTGTCGGGTTAGGCCAAGGTGGTAAAGACCGGGTCTCTGGGTATTGAACACCCACCCTGTGTGTCTCATGGTCTTGTGATATGTTGTGATGGTGGAGATTCTTTCTTGTGCTTTGAGAGAATTGATGTTGCATTTGCTGCATAAGATAGGCATCAGAGCAAACCATCACGGGACAGTGCTCACCTGAACATCTTGACCTAGCCCAAAGGCCTGGTTTTTTTTGGCCCATCTATATAGGGAAATGGGTTCATTTGACTCATCTGGAAGGCTTCCAAAGATGTTGCAACAGTTCTGGATGCTAGTTCAGCAACATGTGTTGTGATGGGTCGATATATATATATATAGTATACATATAGTATATATATATATGTATATATGGGCAGTCGGAGCATCAATTTGTAGATGTGCTACTGCTGGCTCCTGGTATAGGTGTCATCAATACCATGCTTTTGCAGCGACTGTGTCCCAGATAGTATACATTTTGCATCACTGAGATTCACTGGCTGACTTGGTTCGGACAGGGACAATCCTGTGCCAAAACGCCTGCCAATCCTGCATTTTGAGGTGGTTTCCCATGTTTTCCAAGACCACGGAGCCGGTCAGCTTGCAAAACCTCCCGGATTCTCTCACAGGCTGGCTGTGAAGAGGACAAAGCACAAGCACATGTATGAATCAATGGCAGATATGATATATGACATTAAGCCCTGCGATGGTAGGGCCGTCTTTTCAAGCTGATGCTCAACCTCTCAAAGAATCATAGGTGACTTTCCGCTCCAGTCGCCACCTTGGTGTCTTTCCGGGGGATCGAGTCAATCTTTTTTGACAAGCACAGCTCCAATGGTGCTTTGGATGGTTTCCCTACCAGTCTTGCAGGATTTGCTATAAATAATTGTACGATATGCATCGATATGATATCATGCTGTTTGTTTGTCGCTCTTCTATACAAACTGATTTCAGCCATCCCATACTTGCATTGGCCAAGCAGCTCAGGTACGCGTGTAGTGACCCGAGTCAATATTTGCAGTGTTTTGAGCCTCAAGATACAGAACTGATGCACCTAATCTACTCTACTCATATTCGCTCAAAAAAGATACTTCCGCAATCCCTGGACCCGGGTCATACCAAAGAACCACAACCTTCATCTGCGGTTCTTTTGTGGTCAGCAGGCTTTCGCAGCATGTGGGAGATCTCCGAGAAGTGGATGAACGACAAGGCCCAGGAGACCAGTGTGGAGAGATTCACTTGACGAACAGTGAGGCTTTGTGCCCTTTATCACACTTTCTGCCCACTTTGTGCCCTTTGTCGCAGAAGATTTTAAGCTTTATGTGTTTCAATCCTCCAACGATTCAGCACAGCAGACAAAAGGTAGTCTGGTCATTTGAAGTCATCAGAGAAACCACCATGTCGGGTGCTCAAGCAAGCAAGGGGGTCATTTGAAGCAGGGTCTTTATATTTTCTTTCATCGAAGCTTCATCGTCAAGAGGATGTGGACGCGACGAGCTGCTCGCATGTCCTTTTTGCGTAGCGCAGCTGCGTAGCGTGGCCGCGTAGCCTCTACCAGCCTCTACCAGTTGATCGGAGCCTAGTGTTTTGGGCTCCGCCGGCTCTTCCAATCAGGAGCCCAAAGAGGCGCCGAAGACCCCCTCACCGTCGCCATCTGGACCGTCTGGATCGTCTGGACCTTGAAGCTGTGAGTTCGCAGTCAGGGATGCGCTGTCAGTGGTTGTCTCACAGAGCCTTCTTTGTGGAATATCTCTTGTGGTTCTTGTATGCATTCCTGCTTGGTTGAGAAAGCCCCACCCCCAAGAAGGAGTCCACAAGCACAAATGCTTTATCATTGATAGTTCACGTACTTGGGATGCTTTCGGGGAGTCCAGACGATGCAACCTTTTTTGACGCAGGGAAATCCGCCCATACCGTGTGCCATCCTCACTAAGGGGGGCTTGTAGTCCTCGCAGGCCAGGATGCGATGAGAATGAAAGGGAGCAGCACCTTTCTTGCATGGCTTGTTCAGCAACACTTTCGACATGGTTCATGAATCAAACATAATCATAAGACCTTTAACTACTGAGGACGCCACAGAACAGACGACGTGAGGTTAGAAGTGGCGTAAAGGCATTTGGGCTCCAACCGTTCCCCATCGAAGTATACCTAACCATTAGTATCATCGCTGGCCTGGCATGATGAGCCATCCAGGCCCCTCAAACATGATGCACACCCATTGGTGAGGCCGTGGACGAATCAGTCCACGCGTTCCCGACCAGGCTGAGGGTTGGACGGCAGGTCTCCGTTAGGGATTCCCCTAGCTGTTTTTCTTGAATGTTTGCAACATCGGGACCGGTTGGGGGTGTTTTCCCATTTGAGTTGTCTAAAGCTCAAGGTGGGTTTGGGTCACACTTGGACCCTGCAAAACATCAGGGTGGAGAACATTCCCAATAGACATCCTGGATCGGACTACGAAAGTGAAGCTTGTCTTAATTTGCTTTGCAACTGTGAAGGTCCCACTGCCTACTGGTGTTGTCTTGATTTTCAGGTGGGCAGGCCAAACTCCTTCAGCATTCGACTTGTCCCTGTAGTTGGGCTTGACTACACAAACCCGAGAATCCTCCGAAGCCGGTAGAAGAATTCATCGCTGAAACTCAAACCATGGCATATGTTCTTCCCGCCAAAGCAGGAGTTTTCCCGTTGCCTCCCTGTATTTTGAGGCTTCTCAAGAAGGGTTTAAAGGTGGGTTTTTGCCTGAGATGTCCTGTCAGGTACCGTTGGCACGGTCGGCACAATGGCGAGTTCCACGTCCAGACAGTCGCCCCAGGACACCGACCGGCGAGGGGTTCACTGGCCACTCGCAATCTCAGGATGGTGCAGGCTCCTCCAACAGTCTCACCTCCTCCATCCTCACATTCCCAAGGTCCTTCTTTTTCTTTTTGAAAACATCAACCAAATGCCCGTGGTTTGAGCATCGCTAGTAGGTTGGAGGCCATAGCTGGTAGGTTGACAAAAACTCTCACGGTTTTGTTTCAAACAAACATAGTAGCGTCCTTCCTCCTAGTAGCGAGGCCACGAGCCCCTAGTAGCGATGCACTTGTTCCTAGTAGCGATGCCCTTGGCTCCTAGTAGCGTTTTGTTTGCTCAAAGAAATGCCAAACCTCCAGTTTGCTTGTCCAGTGGCGCCCGACCTCCAGGAGTCGAAGCCGAACGGACAGAGAGTGCGGCAGGTGGAGTCGGGGAGTCGGGCGTGGAGTCACGTGAATGGGCCGCCATGGTTTGGGTCCATATGGGTTTCATTTCGGTTTGATTTCAGCTCATTCTACGAGTGTTGTACTGTATTTTGACTCTCATGTTGTGAAGAGGATCAGGCTTCCTGCGCATTCCTGCAGTTCTTGGGGGAGATGTACTAGGTTTGGCCAGGGTCTTTGGTTTGTCTCACTTGCACAGGGTCGAGAACTGACTTGGTGCGGATCCAGTTCTGGAAGGATCTCACACCACCAGTCGGACCGGCGCTGCCGTTGAGAGGTGCTTTGGGGGTCTACAGAGGGAGCCAAGAGACGTGAGTGGAGTCGGGCCAGCAATCTGCCGGCGGCTCAGAAATCGGACACGTGACGTGTGACATGTGTGACATATGTGACATGTCAGAGAATCCCTTGAACTTTAGTGCCCCCATCTTGTTAGAGCAAAGGCTAGAGAAGGACCTGATGAACGCCTGTAAGCAAAGACACCTAGGCTCAGAGAGGGTTCATCCATTTCAGGTCTGGAGTTGGATCCATAAGTTTCAATTTGGACTCTGTTCAATGGAGTTTTTGAATACCTTTGGGTGAACAACCGATGGACGTGCAGCATGGACGTGCATCCGAAAGATGAAGAAGCATTGGGTGCAAGTCGCGTCCGGCGTCAGATTCTCTCGAGCTTGGCACTTGCAGATCCACCCGACTCTACGAGATGACGCCCAACCTCACGAGATGACACGCCCGTTTCAAAACGGGAAGACTTCCAACTGGTGGGGTTTCATGCCCTAGTCCTTCGAACACCAGGGTGAGTCAGGAGTTTGTACATGTTTTTCACGAATCGAACTTCGAACGAAAAACCACCGGGTCATCTGGGTGAACCGTGACCGTTGACTCCGTCGTGTCGTGAAGCCGTGACACGCGCGACTTGCTTCCTTGAGGTCATGGGGAGACAGGAGAGCTGTTAACGTGTGCGTTGCGGACAGTCCATCTGGGAGATGAGCTTGGGGACAGTGGATCCATGCTTAACAGGGAAGAGGGACCAGTGGCAACCTGGTAGGATGGAATGCCGAGCAACATTTTCGATTCTTGCTTAGAATAGAAGACCACTTGAGAAGCTCTGAAAGTAGATGAGTTCACCCAGTCTCTGAATTGTTTTGCATTTTGAGCGTACACAGAGTGACACCCATTCAGCGTACTGTTTGGGTTCTCATCAGGGGCTGACGTTCGCAAGCCAGATGAAATGAGCAGTGCAACAACATGTTCCTCTACCTGCTACTGGCTGAAGGTCTGTGCTCCCATGGCGTGTTTGCGGCGACCCCTCAAAGAATGGCTCAGGGGGCACGAGCACTGTGTCAAGTCTTATAATCAGTGTCTATAGGTCAAAGATCGCAAAGATCATCGGAGCGGGTGTTTTTGACCCTCCCCCAAAAACATGCACATGAAACTATGAGAATCACAATGGTCTAGTGGTGCGGGACCGGAAGACGTCCACCACCCCCGCAGGGTTCAAGTTGGTTGGGTCTGGGCCAGACTCGCTCAACGGATGCCATGGCACGGAACTTTCCTTTGCCTTTCCGCTCGCTGCCCTTGCTCCCTTTCAAGATTATCGAGGCTAGGATTGCATTGGGCAAGTGCCGAGAATCGCCCATTTAGTGCGACGAATCGCCTCACCACCTTACTAGTAGATTCTTGTCACTAGTAGCGATGCCCTTCATGCACCCGTCTGCTGGGAATTTCTCACAATTTCTCGATGACCAAGTCGTCTAGGAATGTGCTACACAGGCATGGGTTTGTGCTGAAGCTGGAGAAATCAGCCCAGTGTCTCAGCCCAAGCCTCTTCGGCTTCTTCCTTCCGTACGATTCCTTTTTCCGTCAGGAAGTCCCTGAAGCGTTTGTGTCATGCGAGATGTTCACTTGAGGAATCTGAATTGAGCAGAGCTTGCAACCAGTTGGTTTCTTCAGATGCACCGAGCATGCTGCCAGTGCCGGACCACATCAGGTGGACAGGGTGAGACCGGACGTCAATGTCACACACCCTGAAACGTTTGCGGATCTCCAGCTTGCTATGACTTACAGTGTTCTATCCCTTGATTAACCGCTTGCTCTGTCATCTCATGTGATGCTCCTGTTGTTACAACTCATTTTTCCACAAAGCAAGTTCCTCGCCAGCAGAGTCCACAACCGGCATTGCCGCACTTTCGACAAAATTGTCTAGGCCTTTTGTGTTTCCAAATGTGACATGTCGAGCTGAAACGACTTGTCATTTTTGTGGCTGCAGCATGGGGCTGCCACTGTGCTGCGCCAGGCAGGAGGCTCAGCGCATTTGGCAGAGCCTTTTAGACATGCATGAGAAGCATGAACAGCATGAGAATGAGATCTTGGAGGCTCAGGCCTGGTCACTTCTACTCTCCAAGGTGGGGATGACGTTGGGAGTGAAGTTCATAGAAGTGCACGGAAGCAGTGCACGGAAGAAGTGCCTCAACATTTGAGTGAACAAGACACCTGTCGCAAATTGCTTCGGTGTTTGGTCTCGAGATCGAGAGGTGCAAGCTGAAGCCCTGGATCGTGCCCATGTGCCTCATCCACCCGTGATGATCCCGGTGACCGAGGACAGAGGGAAGATAAAGAGTTCAGGTTCACGGAGTCAACTTGTGAATTCTTGACACATCCGAGCTTTTCTTGGTGATTTAAAGGTGTGAAACCTTGCTCCTTTTAACTGGAAAGCATGCCGCTAGACTTTCATCTTGAACTCAATCCAGGCCTTCACTTTAGTTTGTTGCTTGACTCACTGGAGAGCCGGCTGCCATCGCGTTCGTCAGGAGCAGCTGAGCTTTTGGCATCGCTTCGCCATGGAGGTGGAATTCCTTCCACCGGAGGAGCTGGAGGACAGGGTCACACTTTTGAAAGGCAACTCAACTAGATTGTCGTGTGGAGTCTGGGAATTTCCAACCCCCCTGTAAGCCCCGAAAAGGCAAAGCAAAGGTCGGCATGGCCTTGGGATAAGAGGCAGTGAATCGTCCTCGCCGCCTTGGGAGGATCTAGAGCTTTTGGAGGCCATCTCCGAGGAGCGCTTCGTGGGTGACGAGAAGCGCTGCCGGGGTTTGCGGCATAAGATTGACTGGACTGGCTTGGCTGGGGTGGGATGGCTGGATATGCCTGGACTGGATGGAATGGCGGGGCTAGTGGCTGCAATGTCAATATCAAAAACGATGCCGAGTTGCAAGTTCTGGTTCTTCTTCTCTCTACCTCAACCACTTGGGGATGACTGTTGTACTTAAAGCATCCTAAACGACTTTTGCCTCTTCTTCTTTTGAGCCTATGCCCATGGGACACAGGGGCCACAGGGGCCTGCGGGGTCTGCGGGCGATTTGTCAGGAGTGGACAGGAGCAGCCAGCATCGCCGAAGCCATACGCCTGCATAGAGCTATACGTGGACATGTGGAGAGCATGCAGGGCCTAAAGGTGGCTTTAGCTCTGATTCGTTACTTTTGGATTTGTATTTATTTGATTTGACTCTTTGACTCCAGCATGAACTCCTGGTGGCTTAGCTGAGCTGGATTGCACGAAAACCACGAAAGCGCCAAGGTCTGCATCCTGGGGCCCAGCTCCTCCTGCGAATATCATCTGGGCATCGAGGTCTTGGAAGAGAAGTTGCTGACCATCTTGGGCGATGGCCACTCTTGGTTGAAAGAAGGGAATTCGTTCTTTCGGATTGTTTTGGCACGTTTTTGCGGGGTCCCAGAGCAGGATGTCCGAACTCCACACGGCCCCTGTCCGGCTGTCACCCTGTCACCAACTCGGCTAAGGCGATCTCCAGCTGATGTTTTGTGGGCCGGAAGTTTCTGGAGCAAGGCCAACAGCGTATCATTTTCTTTTTCTATATTTTCTGGTCTGCTTTGCAACATTTTGGATGTAGAGACAATCGGACGAACCCCACAAAACCTCCAATCCGACGATTACCTAGTAGTGCGGTATGGTTCAGTTCAAAGCCCGAGTTTTGAAGTATTCAGAAAAAACAATGTTCTAAAACATCGTAGCAAAGGCGCTGATGCCTTGTTGGTACGACCGGATCGCATCTGAGGTGCCTACTGCCCGCAGCAGCCAGCGAGGCAAGCTTCAGCTGGAGCATCGGCCAGGCGATTCTTCCGGCACACAGACCATCCATCGATTTGACAAGACCTCCAGTCTAGGGGTGTGGTGCCAGCGGTCTTGTGGTGGTGCCAACGGTTTTTTTGCTCTCCTTTGGGTTTGAAAGGGCTGCTCATCCCTTCTTCACACCAAAGGATGCGGTCACCGTGACAACAGGATGTCAACATTTCTCCAGCCAGGAGCCCCTGATAGCGTCCTTGCTCCTAGCGGCGATGCCCTTTGTTCCTAGTAGCTTCTTGCTCCTAGCAGCAAAGGGTGCGTGTTGGAGGAACGCCGTCTCTTACTATGTCCGAGATTTTTCGCTGGTCAGACTCTTTGCACGCACATGTATATAACGACATGTATTTGCAACATGGGTCTGTTTGCTCCCATGGTTAACTGAGCTCTCTTTTGATGCCTTTGACCATGTTTGTGGGTGGAAAGCCTTAGAGGAAGTGAGGGCTTTGGAGGAGGGGCCGTTCCGGCTGGGACGAGCCGAAGGTCTATGGCACGAACAGCCAGAAGCGGGAGTGGTGGCGGGCACAGCGGCCGCAGCGTCGTGGGAGTTGTTCATCGCCTTAAATGCCGGCACATCTCTGAGGGAATACCAAGAGCAGTGGCGAGAGACCTTCATGAAGCTCCCTCAAAGCTCGATGATCTACATCACTGGTTACAACCTTTTGGAAGTTCAGGAGGCCAATAGAGATTTGAGGACTGGCATGGACAGGCCAGAGAATCAGAGGGTCTCAGTATTCACATGTGTTTGGCAGTGATGGGAACGTTTCAGCCTGATCAACTTGGACAAAAATAGAGAGCGGACATCAAAGACAGACATTCCCGTGTGTGTATGGGTCAAAACTGTTAAACCATCACTTCCTTTAACCAAACCGCCTAGTCAGGTGGCCGGATGAGCTGGATGAGGCAACTTGCCGTGTTTGTCGAAGTGGCACTTTGAAGGGCTTTGATCGAGTTGAGCTGGGAACAACGCCTGCCAGCTTTCCTGGGAAGGCCAACTACGCGGAATGCATTGTGCCAGGCCCTGTGTGAAAACCATGGGTTTGGGACTTTGGGAGTTTGGGATGTTTGAGGTAGATTCCGAATGCCTCAAGAACGAAAGGCGCAGAATCATCCCATGTCATCAGAGTTTGTAGAGGCTTCTTGAAACTTCTTTGTGCTCCACGCAGGACTTGGTGGGCTTGGTGCTGGTCTCCCTGTTGAACCATGGTGGCCGATCTTCGCACGAAGCTAGAAGACTTGCTCCCCTGTCTTGGCGCTTCCCTGCTGGCCGGAGCTTCCATTCAGCAGAATTGCACAAAACACATCAGATGGCACAATCAGAAGCCTCCTTGACGACGACCCGAAGGCCAGACCCTAAGAGTCTAGTGGCTTTTGTGGACTTGTCGCGATGGACTGCGGCCTTCTTTGGTCTACAGCGACGACTGCCACGTTGGACTCTGCCAGACTTCAACGAACGTCCACGAGATGCACGTCTTCCACTCGCTGCAACCGTTGCCAAGAGGAGACGCAAGGCCTTGCCCCACAAGGGATGGGGCTCCAGCACTCTGTTTCGTCCTGGTGCACGGCCTGCTGCGTACCTACCAGAAACAGCATGAAAGTCACTTGAGTCCACCTAGAAGTGGGAAAATCCGGTAGAGAAGCTCCCGGGCAAGCTGAGATTGAGCTTCTCGCCTGGTTCCAAAGTGAAGGTGCGGGCGTCAGCTGTAGGCTGCTTGCGCTAGCTGCGGGCATCGATTTGATTGTTTTTGCCCTCTGGCATTACACGTCATGCCTGGTGTCAGAGCCAAGGCTTCAACCTGCAGCAACG